TGTACATGGGAAAAATGCCAATAAGCAAAGTCAAAAGATAAATAACAATATTTGAAAGTTTTATCACAAGGGGTTAATTATCCAGTATATAAAAAGTTTCTAAAAATTGAGGGGAAAAATAATAAAGAAGTAAATAAAAACTGAGGCAGGGGAAGGAATCTATAGAAAAATGGGCAGAAGATATGAACAAGTAGTTCACACAAAAGGAAATGCAAATGACTTTAAACATATGAAACGATCAGCATTATTTTCAATAGCCAAGATAAGGAAGCAGCCCAATGACTGATAAATAAGATGTACAATGGAATATTATTCAGCCATAAAAAAAAAGAAATCTTGTTATTTGCAACAACATGGAGAGTATAATACAAAGAAAAATAAGTCAGAAAGATAAATGCCATATGATTTCACTCCTATGTTTAAGAAATAAAACAAATAAAGGGAAAGAAGAGACAGACAGACAGACAGACAACCCAAGGAACAGACTTAACTATACAGAACAAACTGGTTACCAGAGGGGAGGTGGGTAGAGGGATGGGTGAAATAGGTGATGGGGATAAAGGAGTGCACTAGGTGTGATCAGCACCAGGTATTGTATGGAAGCACTGAATCACTAGAGTGTAAACCTGAAATGAATATATAACACTGTATGTTAACTGAAAGGAAAATAAAAACCTAATTAAGTTAAAACAAAACATGAAAGATGCTCTATGTTGCTCACAGGAAGAGAAATACAAATTTAAAATACAGGAAGTTATATTTAGACTAACAAAAGCTCAAAAGTTTAACAATATACTCTGATATGGCTATGGGAAAACAGACACTCACATACATTGTAGGCAGGAACACAAAATGGTACAATTTCTACAGAGATTTTGCCAATACCTAGCAACTGAGAAATATGCATTTACCCTTTGACCCAACAATGCCACTTCTAGGAAGCTATCCCAAAATACAAAGTCACAGATGCACAAGGACACAGTGTAGCACAATGTGCAATAGCAGGACACAGCACAAATGCCTACAGAGAGAGACTAGCTGAATATTCATCCACCAATGGAATATTATGAAGCTGTCAAAAGGGATAGACATACTTCTATGGAGGGACTGACATGGCATGTATTACCAGAGGGGGAAAGCAAGTAGATAATGCATTTGTTTTCATCAAAGGAAAAATCCAAAGCCAGTAAATATAGTATCTATAAGAAAGGGAACAGAGTGGAGAAAAGAGGATTGAAAGCTAAACTTGTCTGGATATCTGTGTTTTACAGGTACTTGCTGAGAACTATGCTAATTTGTTACATATATAAAAAAATCCAAATGGGGAAAAAAAGCAATATTGAAAAATTGGAAAAAATGAAATAAAAAACTATCAACTAGATATCAAGTTGGCCGACTAACCATATAGCATATTGTTTCATATGCCTTTAAAATGCAACAGTTTTACTGTACATATAGCCCAAGTAGGATATAAACTAAAGCTAAAAAAGAGCTGCAAAGAAATCCTGAACACTATTCAAGAATCATATTGTTAATAATAAAATTGGTATCGTTAACTTGAAACCAATATATAGAATGTAGGATTTTTAAAAAAGTAATTATGTTAACCTAATGCAGTTCCAAGATTTTCAGCAAGATAAAAAGACACACATATAAAAACAAATACAAACAAAATAAATTAAAATGTAAATATCAGTGTGAATTTTGTATACTTCTGTTTTAAAAAATGTATTTCTAGGACACCTGGGTGACTCAGTTAAGTGTCTGACTTCAACTCAGGCCATGATCTCATGGTTTCTGGGTTCAAGGCCCACGTCAGGCTCTGTGCTGACAGCTCGGAGCCTGGAGCCTACTTCAGACTCTGTGTCTCCTTCTCGCTCTGCCCCTCCCCAACTTGTGGGGGGGGGGTGTTGCGCACAAGGGCATGCACTCTCCCTCTCTCTCAAAAATAAATGAACATTAAAATAATAATAATAATAATAATAATAAAATATATTTCCTAACTCTGGCCATCATAAATCCTAGAGCCTTGACCAACCTAGCAGCAAGATCACCCACACTGTGGTCTCTAAATACCATCAACCGCTCAAAGGAACCAGGGCTTTTTGGTGGCCACTAATGTATAAATGAGAGAGGAACAGGTTTTTACCAGAAAATAGGGAATTATCAAAGGCTACTAGCCATATCAAGATGGACAGGAGCCAACTTAAAGGGATGCCACTGCCCAAAGGTAGGACAATTTGAGATTTAAAAAAGAAAAATCTGCAATAAGTTGAAACAGTTTAAATATATTCAAGTCCATGATGATTTAAAAAAAAAAAAAAAGGCAAAAACCTTCATGGTTACCTTTGGAGGTTGCTAGGCCACCAACTCATTAATGTAGTCTGCAAATAGAGGGAAAGAATTAAGCATTTTTCTTGACTTTCTTGTACAAACTACATTTCAAATAAATGATAGTAGTCAAATGGCTGGTGGGGGAGAGTTCTTCGTCATAAAAGATTTCCATCTAATAAACACTGACGTTATGAGAGAATTAGAAAATCAACACTCTATAACCCCTAATGTGATAATGGATACAGGCAATCTAGATCCATGAAAAGATTTCACTGTTAAGTGAAAAGCTCATAGGGAATATCACGATAGATGGACTGGGCTAACAATACCTGAAATCATTACACTGCTCAATCTTAACGCGAGACACAACTCAGACATTTCATGCCTCTCTGATAATTAATGCAAATAGATGGTCTACTGTACCACCTAGGAAATCTTCTTGCTCTCCAACCATCAAAAAAAAAAAAAAAAATTAAGAGTGAATCTAATCTTCTAGATTAGTGCCATTCAACAGAACTTTCTGCGATTATTGAAGTATTTTATGTTTATACCATTCTAAGGTTCGCTACTAGGCACGTGTGACTACTGGGCACTTAAAATATGGATAATGAAACTAGGGAACTGAACTTTTAATTTTATTTCATTTTAATTAATTTAAATAGCTGGCTGGTGGCTACTACACTGGACAGTGTGACCCTAGATCTAACTACTGGTTTAAATGAAATAAAGGGAAAAGACATACATGTAAAAGGATGTCATGCGGTTGCAATCAGCTAAATCTAGGTTATGGGGGGAAGGGACATCAGGGAACTACTCTATTAAAAAAGAATTTAAATTATGTATCAACCAAATGCAATGTGTGGATCTCTATGAGATTTTGACCCAAAGAAGCTAATTGTAAACAGTCATTTAATGGACAGTTGGGAAAAAACAACCCAGACTTAATATTGACATCATGGAACTTTATTAATTTCTTGGTACAATGACAGTACTGCGGTTTTGTAAAACCAAAAAAGCAAATTTAACTTTAAGAGTGGAAAAAAAAAAACTAACATAAAAATAAATTCAATCCCTGCAACCACTGTTCCTGTTGGCTGCGGGTGAATTTCAAATCCAATTGACTTTTTTTTTAAGTAGGGAGCTATAATAAAGTGGATTACTGATGCTGTCACAACTGGCCACCAAGACTACATAAATGAGAATGGGAAGGACTAAGCACAGGTGTGCCTTCTAATGGGAGAAAAAAGGCATCAGTACAATTAACATTGTTATTACAAAGAATTTGTAAAAGCTGAATCTGCATACATTTTTAAAGGACAGTGTCTCAAATGTTTATAAATCTCTGTAACTCATTTCCTTTTCTTTTCTAGCCCATTTTAATTCCATTTTTACTATACTTATTACTGATAATATAGTCAAAGGGTAAGAAGCTGATACAAATCTAAAGGCGGTACTGCATTTCAAATAAGAGAATACACTTTATTAAGCTACAGGTATGAAAAGTATAAATATAAATATTTGAAAGTAACATGTTATTGATGATCCTTATTAGAACTTTTCATAGATATAAAATGAAATGCAAGCATGTGGATAACTATAACAGCTGTGTACCTACCCTACAGTGCTGCTTTATGAAAGGAATAAAATAAAGAATAGGATGTAAGGCTCAACGAAAACTACTTTGTGCAAATAAGGGTACGCTAACTATAAATGAAGACAAGTCACTGACAGCAGACTCGTTCGTTGTTACTCTCTGAGGTTATAAGAGACGTAAGAAAACACATTATGAGCTTGGATTTACTGTCTTCAAGGATCTTCAACATAGAAGTGCTCCTAAGAACTGTCCCTTTTAAACCCTCATTCTAAGATATGATTATTTCCACCCCTGATTTTAGAGCAATCCGTAACTTCAGTCCTTCACGATTTCTGCCACCTTTCTGTACCTCCTGTACTGACATTAACTCACTTCAAAAACTAAGTCCCCCCGACACCCACATTACAGAACCAGCTTCACGCGCCGTCGAGGGCCTAAGTCGCAACAATGCTGGGAAGCTAACCAGGTTTGGCAGCCCAGGCGGGAGGGCTGTGCCGGGGGTTCCTCCTCTGAAGAGGAAGAGCGGCCCGCAGCTGGCTCCGCCGCGAGCGACGAGGGCTCGGCTACAGCTCGCCCCCGCCCCCACCCCCCCCCCGGCCTCGGGGGAGGGGCTGACCACCTGGCTGGCCCGGACGGTGTGCCCGGCAAGGCCATATCCGCCTTCGCGGGTCCGCACGGTATAGGCTGCGAGGCGGACAGGCGGGGTGCCGCAGCAGCCCCAGGCAGGCGAGGGCGGGACTGGTGGCCGGCGGGCTGCAGCGGTCGCCAGCCCCGGGCCATACGGCCTCGCAGCCCGCGGCACCACCGCAGCCAGCGCTGCCTCCGGGCTAGGACACGCCCGCCCTGCGCCCGTCCTCCAGGCGCACATGCTGTTACCGGGCCGCCGCGAGCGCGTCCCCGAGGCTTCCCGCCGTTACCTCCGGGCGGGAGCGCGCACGCGCGTCACCGCCGACCCGACGTCCAGCCTCTCCTGTCGACACGCTCGTCCCGCCCACTGCCCCCTTATTTTTAATTGAAGCTGGGTCCTCCCAAACCTCCCCTCTCCGCCAGCAAATGGGCTCACCCACATCCGGGAGAAGTCAAGAAAGGGGCGCGGGTCACGTGATGCTGAGGGTGGGGTCTGACGGAAGCGGGCGCAGCGCTGGGTGCCGCGCGGGTAAGGCTTTTCCCGCGCCCCTAGTCTGAAGGGACGCGGACGCGTTGCTTCCTCAGCGTCGCCCTTTCTCCATTTCCATCGGTGGAGGCTGATGGCTTCACTTCATCCTCACACTTTCGTTGGTGCACGCCGTGGCGGGTGGAAAGGCACTTCCGTGGCGGTTCTGGGCCTCCCCCGCTTCCACATTTGGTGTATCCAGCTTCGAGCCGGAAGCCGGAACTGTTGGGCGCCCCCACGCGTCTTATGGATGGTGGTGGCTGGCGAGGGTCATTTCTAGTAAGGGAGAAGGTCGTCCCATAGATCTTGTAATTAACTGTTCGCAAAGCGATAAAGTGCATTGATGAGATAAAACGTGCACCTGTGCCGCGGATCATTTCTAGTAAGGGAGAAGGTCGTCCCATAGATCTTGTAATTACCTGTTCGCAAAGCGATAAAGTGCATTGATGAGATAAAACGTGCACCTGTGCCGCGGAAGGGACGCACCGCGGGTCTGGGAAACCCATGTAATGGGCATTGTGACAAGCTCCCAATTGGAACTTTCGCAGTGCCCCCAGAACTAAGGGACCCCAGGAAGAACGGGAAGCGCTCTCTGCCTGGATCTAGGAACAGGCCTCCTGCGGGACAGGACCTGGGATCCAAGTTTTTTAGACTGACTAGGGGTTTGCTGCAAACAAAGGGATTGTAAAGAGCATTCCAGGCGTTGGGACTGTTACATTTGTAGGAAAAGTTTGCTCAGGAAGGTGGTAGTGGTTCGTTCTGTCGAGTGTGTCAAGTGCTTCGTGACAGCGGGCTTTGTCTGGGACATTGCCTGTCTACGATGATTTCCACTCTTCAGCCCCTGCAGAGTCAAGGCATGTGAGCGCCCTACTCTGGAAATGGGATGTTGACCAGACGAGCTGAACCTATTGTTGAGTTAGGAAGGAAAAGTAGGCGTTAGTGATGGGGGAAAAAGGCTTTTACATGCGAAGTCTGTAAAGTGTGGCAGGGTTAGTGGTGTTTTGAAGAGGAACGGTTGAAAAAAGGTTGGGGCCAAGTTTGGGAAAGATGTGCTGAGTCTTTGCTGCAAAATTTACACATATTAATTGGAGACAAGGATACCTGAGCAAACCGTTGGAAAGACTACCTAACTTGTTAGGTGGATCCTAAGGACAAGAATGAAACTTTCTTTAAAGGCAGAATGCCTGCTAAAGGTAGAGTGATTTGAAAAACACTTCACAGAAAGGTGGACTCTCTGTGACTGGAAAAATTAACCAGTTCTGAAAAGCTAGAGAAATGAGGGTATCCCAGGGGACAGCGGCAAGGACAAAGGAATGGCAGCAGGAAAAGGGGCTCTTGTAGGAAGGAATTCCAAAAATGTAACTGGAATTGTATGTAAATTTCCTAAAGACAGTATCTTTATATTTGCCTTGAGTTACCCACTGAGTCGTCCTGGATTAATTCTTGAGCAAAACATCACAGCTTCATCTGTTTCACTGGAGACAGAAATAACTGGACACCTTCTGCTTCAGTTTTGCCTGGCTCTTTACCATGGGGTCAAAAACTCTTATCCCACCTCAACCTGTGTAATTACTACCTAGGCATTAGGGCTGTCTTGCGATCATGCTATTGGGGACAAGCACAGACCTGTCTGAAGGAGTTGGAGCCCACTGCTAAAGATTGTTCCTGGTGTGAATGTTCACAGCCTCAGAAACTAGGAGTGCTTTTGGTGCCATTGGCTTCCAGGCCTTCAGGATGGCTGCTTTGTGGAGGGAAGCACAGTAGGGTCATAACCCATAATGAAGAAGCAGAGTCCAAACTTGGAGACAGGGAAGCCAGAGGCTCTCTCCATGCTGGGTGCAGCTGTTTAGGAGAAAAATAGAGAATCAGCTATGGCCAGGGAGCTAAGTAGCATCTTGACCACTTGGTCCAGGCATTGAAGGAAGTACAGCAAAAAAAAATCAGGAAGGAACCCCAAAAGGAAGCAGAAATGGGCATCATAGGGTCATGCTACTGTTGTTCACCTGGAGGTGCTCCTTTCAGAACTTGGGTTAGATGCTGTTTTAAGAAGGGACGCAGTTTTCCTTTGTGAACTTAGCTGAGGAGTTCTGTCAGATCTGTAGTTGGTTACTTTGTGTAGCCCCCAGTCCAGTATCTCAATGTGTTCATTTAGCCCCTGTGCCTAAGGATGCTAATATTAGAGCCAAGGCAGGTGGAGACTGTTGTAAAAATATTGCAGGAAAAGGCTAAAGGGGACAGAGAGGAGATTTGGTTATGAATCAGGGATTCGTCAAAGACATCCCAAACAGGGAAAGCTAAGTGTGCGTATCAGGAGAGAAAAGCTACATTCTAGATATACTGTGGCCTTGTACACAAGGCCTCTGTCACACTGGTCTGTCAACTGGGCTATGTCTGATGTCCTGTATATGCTATACAGCATCCATCAGCAGTGGGGAGGGCGGGCAGAAGGGAGAAACTGTGATCTTATAAATAAGCTGTCCCCTGACCCAGATGAGAAGATGAGTCTTTCCCATTCCCAGGGTGACGTCACACCAAGAGACACATGCAGGCTAAAGAGCCTGGGGAATCCTAGTGCTAGACTATATCACCTCTTCAGCATTCGTGTTTAAGAAATCACACTCTTTGGCTTACAGATCTGACAAGATCCAAGCTGCACGAGAATGGACAGTGAGGTACAGAGAGATGGAAGGATCTTGGATTTGATTGACGATGCCTGGCGAGAAGACAAACTGCCATATGAGGATGTCGCAATACCACTGGTAGGTTCTAACTTGTGCCAGGGATGGTGGGCTAAAGGTAGGTCTGGTAGACACTAGTAGATTAGGATGTCAGTGGACAAATAAAACAGCTGAGCACAGAAATGCAAGCTGTGGATTCCTCTCACTCTAGAAGACCCTGGATAGCTTGACCTTTTTATTTGAAGAGAAATGTGGTTCAGAGAGCTGATATGATGAGTTCAGTTAGGGCTCACACCAGGACTGGAACCCAAGACTTCTGAGCCATGTTCTGTCCACCGCCATCAAAGCCACTAAACCAGATAATGAGAGCTTAATGCCCAAGATGGAGTGGAACACGATGCAGTGGCATTTACACTCTATTTCCTACTTGTCTACTTGTGGTTGGATCAATTGACACCTTTAGTGACATACTCTTGAAACACACACCTCTCCTAGATTTCCTGGAAAATGTTTGGAAGATACCTGGCTGTTTTGCATTTAGACCAAAAGGGCCCTGGGATACTCTCTTCTTCCCTGGTCTCTGGAGAACTCTCCTGCACGGAGTTTGTTGAACCTCATGCAATAATAAATGATCTAAAAGTTTTTGCATTTGTAAGGACTCCTGGGTGGCTCTGTTAATTAAGTATCCGATTCTTGATTTTGGCTCAGGTCATGATCTCATGGTTCACAGGGTAGAGTCCCCGTTGAGATTCTCTCTCTCTGCCTCTCTCTCTGCCCCTCCCCCACTCACACACACTCTCTTGCTCTCAAATAAACATTTCTAAAAAATAAAAGTTGTGCATTTATAAATGTTTGTTTAAAATCCTCTATATGTCATAGAAGCCTAACACAAACAAGGAGAACAGGCTTTAGGGACTTTTCTGTAGAGCACGCCAGGGCCTGGAGAGGAGCTGTTAATGAAATGCAGCTTACAAGAAGACTGCTGGTGCCGTTGACTGAGAAGTAGACTTCAGCTTACATACATTTTCATCTAAAGTTAAGAAATGATAACATTAATACATCACAGCTTAGTTCAAGTTTAGAAAAATAGTCAAAAGAGAGTGCATAACAAGAATTATAGCTGCCACTCAGTACCAGTTTTATGCCATGGACTGATGTTGAAATTTGATGTGTGTTCTCTCTAACCCTTGAAACACCCTTCCAAGGGTAGTAGTGTTAATCACATTTTACAGGAAGGAAATAGGATCAGAGAGGCAAACTTGTCCAAAGTCCAAACTTAGCTGGTAAGTTGGGTTTTCCTACCTAGGTCTGTGTGAAGGCTGCAGATCCTGTCTTATAAACTTGTGTTTGTTTTTTCAACTGACAAGCATTTTTTTTAAGCCTACCATATGCCGTAAGACTATGTGAATGTCAGGAGTAGTTCCTACCACTGGGGGTCTAGAGAGGCAACATACATAAATAAGTAATTATAGTAAGTGTTATAAATGGGCTGTGAAGAGCTACATAGGATAGGAAGTGGCTGATTGCCCTTTCAGCATCAGGAAGGGCTTTAGAGAGAATATAGTATATACGCTGGTCATAAGGGAGGACCAGAAATTTAGGGGGGATAGACAAGGGCACTCCAACAGAGGGGACAGAAGCTCAAAGGCCCAGAGTTTTTAAAGGCTTTGCGAGATGGTGAGACATTCGTTGTGGATGGAGAATATATTTGTCATCTAAGGTAGGCAGAAAAGATGGACTTGGACCAGATTTTGAGAGGAGTATCTGATGCCATGCTTCAACTGCAATCTGAAGAGAGCCAGGAATGAGTGGTCTGCAAAATATAAATCTGCCATGTGCAAATTTGAGTTTTAGAAAATCAGTGCGACAGCATTGTTAGACGATGTGTGACATGGAGAAAGGGACAAATGACTGGGTAGAGGGATGAGTAAGGAAGTGATTGCAGTAGTATATCAGCAGGGGAGGAGGGCCTAGACAAAGGCACGGCACCGGAGGGAAACTGCTTAACTCTGGACAGGCTCATGGCAGGATTTGGGGACTGCTGCTGTGGAAGAGGTTGAGGGAGACAAATTTCCATGCTAAACAGCCAAACTATAGCCTAGCCTGCTTGCTAATCGCTGTCTTTTCCTGTGTCTTGTGATTCTAAGACAGTGTGTGTACTGGTTACCTTTTGTTGCTGCCTAACAAATCTCCCCCAAGGAGAGTGGCTTGAAACAACAGCTATTTATCTCATGATTTTGTGGCTCAGCTCAGAGGGTCTTCCAGTCCTTGCCAGCTTGGCTGTTCCCTGCTGGATTTGGTGGTGCTCTGCAGTCAGCCAGAAGGCCAGCTGGAGGCTGGGTGATAGGCAGACTTGTCACATATCTGGTAGGTAGCAGGTTGTCAGCTGTGATGGCGAGGTGCTTACGCCCACGTCTCATTATCCAGCAGACTGGGCTAGGCTGCACATGGCTGTCTCGGGGCTCCAAGGGCAGCACGAGAGGAAGTGTGAGGCTGCCTGGAGCTTAGGCCGACAACAGCCCACTGACACCGCAGCTGCTCTCTGTTAGCCAAAGCAAGGCGCTTGGCCAGTCCCGATCTGCAGTTGGGGAAAAGGGACTCTGCCTTTTCATAGGAGTAGCTGCCAAGAATTGAAGCCATTTTGCAGTATACCATATAATTGATGGTTGTGTTTATGATACCTGAGGATTCTACGCGTTTGTTTTCCAAGCATATATACATTTTTTTTTAATCTTGGCATTCATTGCAAGAGACAGTAGTGACCCAATGAAAGACGTTATTTCAGAACATATACCACAGATAAGGTGAAATTAAGTAAAGTTGCTTGTCTGCGAATTACATAATTCATTAACGAGGGACTTGTTTATGCTTTGTCAGCTATATATATTGGAAACAAACTTTCTCTTTAAGTTTGAATGTATCATTGCATTATAGTAAATGATAATTTGCAGTTTGTACAGATATGTTTGAATCTCCGTATTATGTTGTATCTTGTAAAACAAGATATATGTGATTCAGATAATTCTTGTACCTATTGTAAGTAAATCATTTTATGTGTATTGAACAACTTTAAAGGAGAAAAACATTACAGTATTCTTACAGTGCAAAATGAAATCCAATGGGAAATCCTAAGTCTCGGTATTGAGGAACAATTAGCTGCCCCCCCCCAAAAAAAGTTGTAAATTCAGGTAATTAAAAAGAAATAAATTGGTGTCAGTAAACTCTGGCACAAAGCAAAATCTCGATAGTAATACATTTAAATTTAAAATATAAGGAAACTATCAAAAGTTCTCAGCACATAAAACATGGTTGACTGTTAGGTGATGGATGTGTTGATTAACCTTATTGCAATGATCATCTCATAATACATACCTGTATCAATTCATAATGTCATATACCTTAAACTTATACGATGTTACATATAAATTAAATCTCATGCTGAAAAATATATATGTCAGATTCTATACTAAGTGTGGCCCGTGGCTTACCATTCCAAGAAAATTGTTGGCAGGATATGAACTGGTCATTTGTAGGGATTTATGTTGCTATGCTCCGTCACTAGGGGGAAGTCTCACCTATCATGTACATTTTCAGTGCTCTCCACTTAATAATATGAGCATGTTGGGGACAGAATAGTTTTGTTTAATTTTAATAACATTTCTTATGTTTAAGGAATATTCCAGCAAATGTGGTATTCTATTAAAGCAGCCTCCCCAGAAAAGATTCAGTATTGGGTGTTTTCAGCGATCCTAGCCACTAGTAATAATAGCAGCTATTTCTTGAGCATCGGATGGCCCCTGCCAGTGGTGAGCACTTGATCTCATTTGGTCTTCATAGCTGTCCTATGAGGTGATGGCCCCTTTTTCCTCTCAGTGCCAAAGAGAAAACAAAGGCTTCAAGGGTTTGAATACCCCCAGCAAAGAGTGGAATCGTGGGTTTGGACCCCAGTGGCTTACAAAAGCCTGTGCTCTCATCCCTCTGCCACACTGCTTCCTGCACCAAGTGCCCGAGTCCTGATGCTACCGTTCCCTCCTGCAGATACCAGGGCACATGTCAGCGATACGTGTATTTCCTCATGTCTTTTTATCCTAGGGCTTTCTTGAGGATACATTTCTGTCAATTATGCTGCCTGCTTCTAAGAACTCACAGGTTTTAATTCTAAGTACTCTTGAGTGTTAAGGGGTTTGTTAATGCAGAGAATACCAGTGTTCTGAATGTTCATTGTACCTTTTCAGAATGAGCTTCCTGAACCTGAGCAGGACAACGGTGGCAGCACGGAATCTGTAAAAGAACAAGAAATGAAGTGGACCGACTTGGCCTTACAGTATCTCCATGAGAACGTTCCCCCTATAGGAAACTAACACCTGGCTCCTTTTTCATGGACGGATTTTGTTTTTAATATATAAGACACCAAGGTGGCTCAGTGGTTAAGCATCCAACTCTTGATTTTGGCTTAGGGCATGATCTCACTGTTTTTGAGACAGAGCTTCGCACTGGACTCTGTGCTAACAGTGTGGAGTCTGCTTGGGATTCTCTACCCTTCTGTCTCTACCTCTTCCCCAGGTGTGCACATGCACACGAGCACTCTCTCTCTAAAACTAAATAAATAAAAATTTTTAAAAATTAATAAAGTAAAATGAAAAACATGTAGATATAAAATGTTTTCTTTCATTCTCCTAATTCAGATCTTGAAGTGATAAAGCTATACTCAAAAATTTATACCCACTTAGTTTGTGGAAGCAAAGTGCAATGTGAAAATACTTAAAAGAATGAGAAAAAGATTTCTCAGGAATGCAGAATATTTGGCCCTTGAACTGAAAGTCCTCCATTCACTAGCTTGTGTTTGAATGTAAGAGGTTCAACATTTGCCTTTAACTCTGATTTTGCTTTACTGTCAGAGTTTAACACATGCCAACTACTTACGTGTGTTCTGTGACACAAGTGATTAAAAACACAAGAGGGACAGGCAAAGACAGGAAAACAGATGTAAGAAGAGTGTTAACTTGTCTTGGCGCCTCCCTCTAAGGCATTCTGAGCAGGCCGATAGCACAGTGCAGGTGGAATGAGTATCTAGATGATCCTGTTCACTGATTGGTGGAATTCCTAAGATTCCCCATGGCAATTTCAAACTTGGGAAAAGTTTACAGATTAAAAGTTATCTGGCAGGTACCTCTGTTCTCCCTACTAGTTAATTTGGTGCCACTGGAAAGGACCTTTGGCAAGCTGGACCACTAGTTTTACCCAGTAAAAAGATTTCACATTTTCCCAGAGTCCTTTCAGATACAACAGAAACAACACAAAGTCCATGTTGAGTTACACATTTCTGTGAGAACTCTTATTTTGAAAACCACATCCATGGACATCTATCTCCTGGAATTATTTGCTTCTGTTAAGTGGTTCTTGTTTTCTTACCCAGGTTGTGAACTGTAGGGAGAAACCTTGGCTTGCATTTCTGTATCTCTCATTCAAAAACTAGAATCACTGGGGGTGCCTGGGTGGCTCACTTGGTTAAGCATCCGACTTCGGCTCAGGTCATGATCTCATGGTTCATGTGTTCAAGTCCCATGTCTGGCTCTGTGCTGACAGCTCAGAGCCTAGAGCCTGCTTCAGATTCTGTGTCTCCCTCTCTCTCTGCCCCTCACCTGCCTGCATTCTGTCTCTCTCTCTCAAAAATAAACCTTAGAAAAAAAAAACTAGAAACACTGAATTGAAGTCTCTACTTTTTTTATGGAGTCTTTTTGTTTACCTAACTTTTAGGAAGAAGTATATCAGAAATAAGCTGATTTTATGGTTTCCATCAGAAAACACGGTTGTAGCCACTCTCCCATAATCCAAGCACATCCAGGCTAATCTCCCTGTGCATCCGTGTCCTGCCTAGAAGTCTTTCATCTCAGAATAAAGACCCCAAGTCACCAGTCCCTCAATAATGAAAGACAGACAACCCAGTGGAAAAGAGAATTGCAATGTTTAGAAAAAATGTATACTAAGAGAAAAACTTTCAGAAACTTAAAGTATTTAGACTGCCACAGTTCTCGCAGATTCCAAAATGAGGGTTTTATTATAATTTTAGTTGAGGTATGTGATACTGAAGACACTGTCACCTAGGAACCTAGCAGATGTTCTTAGGAATCCAGCCTCTCCCGGGAATACTGGTACGCCAGTAAAACATAGAAGCTATCTAGATTTTCATTGAATCAGAATATGATGCCTGTAAAATAGCTGTTGATTTATTTGCTTGGCCTCTACCCTCATCTGAGAACTGTCCCCCATGCCAAATTGATCTGTGATGTGGTGCCAGAACTACAGGTCATTGCATGGAGTTAGGTGACCAATCCTGAGCCAGACAGATAGTCCCCTGTGGCTCTGGAATCTGCCTACCTAGGACTGGTTTGACGAAGACGGCCACAAGACATGATAGGCGGCTGCTGTAGGTTGGCTTTTCAAACAAATGTTATCAAAACACCTGAACAGAAAAGTCTGGGGGTGCCTGGGTCCAGTCCATTAAAGCCTCCAACTTTGGCTCAGGTCATGATCTCACAGTGTGTGAGGTCAAGACCCGTGTCGGGCCCAGTGCTGACAGCTCAGAGCCTGGAACCTGCTTCAGATTCTGTGTCTCCCTCTTTCTCTGCCTGACCCTCCACCGCTCATGCTCTGTCTCTGCCTCTCAAAAATAATAAACAGACATTAAAAATTTAAAAAAAAAAAAAAAAGGAAAGTCTGCAGACCAAGCCCTGAGAGGCTCTGTTTGTGTGGCTTTCCAATTGAAAACAGTACATGGCTTTCTTCTGTAAAAGTCACCTCATGTGGTGCTGGGAATACGGCAGTGAACAAAAGTATGGCTCCTGCCTTTTTTAGTGGGGGAAACAGGCATTAAACCAAGAGTTATACAAATCTATGCTTTTAAATTGTGATATATGCTAGGAAAGGAGAAAAGCATGTCGTAAGTGACAGCCTAAGGGCTGGGTACCTAGAAGCAAAGCCTGAGGTAGAGTTTCTTTTTTTTTAATTTTTTTAATGTTTAATTTTTTATTTTTTTTTAATATTTTTATTTATTTCTAGGAGAGAGAGAAAGAGACAGCGTGAGCAGGGGAGGGTCAGAGAGAGAGGGAGATACAGACTCTGAAAAAGGCTCCAGGCTCAGAGCTGGCAGTCAGCACAGAGCCCGACGCGGGGCTCGAACCCACGAACCGCGAGATCATGACCTAAGCGAAAGTCAGACGCTTAACCGACTAAGCCACCCAGGCTTAGTCGGTTTATTTTTTTATTTTTGAGAGAGAGAGAGAGAGAGAGAGACAGTGTGAGAAAGGGAGGGTCAGAGAGAGAGGGAGATATAGAATCCGAAACAGGCTCCAGGCTCTGAGCTGGCTGTCAGCACAGAGCCCGGCATGGGACCTGAACCCACTAACTGTGAGATCATGACCTGAGCCGAAGTCAGATGCTCAACCTACTGAGCCCCCCAGGTGCCCCCTGAGGTAGAGTTTCTTGTGTAGGGGATCTATTGAAGTTGTGGTATCAGGTGGGGCCTGTGAGGGAAGAGGAAGAAGCTGAGAAAAGATACAGCTTCACACTTCAACCAGGTTCCACACAATGTGATGCCACCAAGAGTTTTCCCATCTTAAGGCAAGGGGCTAGGCCTTTGTTTTCTTTTTAATATATTTTTTAACTTCTTTAATGTTTATTTATTTTTGAGACAGAGAGAGACACAGAGTGTGAGTGGGGGAGGGGCAGAGAGAGAGGGAGACACAGAATCTGAAGCAGCTCCAGGCTCTGAGCTGTCAGCACAGAGTCCAACGCAGGAACTCATGAGCCATGAGATCATGAACTGAGCCCAAATCGGACTGACAGAGCCACCCAAGCACCCAAGGGGCTGGGCCTTTGTATTCAGTGTGCAGTGCAGTCATTGGTCCTGCCCTCCCACCAGCCCCCAGGCACTGTGAGAAGGCTCTCCAGAGGACATGCTGCCGTGAGCTCTCGGTACCCAACACGGAACAAGTAGTCAGGGACCAGGGAAAGGGGATCTGGGGCCCAGTAGCAACTACTACCGGGTATAGAGAGTTGGCCTGGGGAGACCTGACATGATTAAATAATCATGGTGAGACATCGTGACACATAACTTCACAATATTATAGCACATAACTTCAAATATTAATGTTGTTTATGAATTTTTCTTACTACAAATAAGTGGTTGCTTTGTGCTTCCTGTTTCAAACAGAGAACTGGTATGTTCAAAAGCACCCCTACCCTTTGTTTGGGATGCAGGGGAGAGAGGGGGAGTAGGAGACTCTCAAGTGTAGTGGAGGAAGGCTGTGCCCCAATCGCTGGTTGTACCCAGTGGGGTGAACTTCAGAGGCTCATGGTATTGAGGTGTCTTCCAGCCTAGGCAAAAAGACGTAAGTACTGGAGACACCTCCTTCCAGGGGCCCTCTGAATTGGCCGTGAGGATAGCAGCAATGACCCAGATGGGCTGAAGAGTAGAGGGCCTCGCCCACTTTTGAGGTCATTCAACATCCCAAATGCTTGTGAGAACTTTAAAGGAAGAAAAGACACTCTACTGACCGCAGATGTGATTTCTGCTGCAGCACAGCAGAATGAGGCCAAAAAGGTTCGCTCTGAAGAAAATAAGAAAGTGGGCAATTTCTTGTACCCACCTTGAGTTTAGAGCCAAGATATGAAGGATGGAAAGGAGTAGGAAGGAGATGGGATTGGGGGGATGAGGATCCATGGAAAGGAGAGTGAAATGCATAAAGCTCAAAGGTAAGACTGGCATTATAATCAAGGCAGGGAGGAGCAGCCTCGATCAGATCTTATTTTGTCAAACAGAAGTTACTCTAGGTTTGACCCTCAACAAAGCAGGGATAGATAGAACGTACCTGAATATCATAAAGGCCATATATGAAAGACCCACAGCTGATATCATCCTCAACAGGGAAAAACTGAGAGCCTTTTCCCTACAGGCAGGAACAAGACAGGGATGGTCACTCTCACCATTACTATTTGACACAGTACTGGAAGTCTTAGCCTCAGCAATCAGACAACACACACACACACACACACACACACACACACAGGCATCCAAATCAGCAAGCTTTCACTACCTGTAGATGACATGATACTCTATGGAGAAAACCCAAAAGACTCCACTAAAAACACAGCTAGAATACAGGAATTCAGCAAAGTTGCAGGATATAAAATCAATGTACAGAAATTGGTTGCATTTCTATACACCAATAAAGAATCAGAAGAAAAAGAAATTAAGGAATTGACTCCATTTACAATTGCACCAAAAATAATAAGATACCTAGGAATAAAGCTAACCAAAGCAATAAAAGATCTGTACCCTGAAAACTATAGAAAAATTATGAAAGAAATTGAAGAAGATACAAAAAAATAAAAAAGCATTCCATGCTCATGGATTAGAAGAACAAACATTGTTAAAATGTCTATATTACCCAAGGCAATCTATACATTTAACGTGATCCCCGTAAAAATACCACCAACATTTTTCTCAGAGCTAGAACAAACAACCCTAACATTTGTAAGGAACCAGAAGAGACCCTGAATAGTTAAAGCAATCCTGAAAAAGAAAGCCAAAACTGGAGGCATCACAATTCCAGATTTCAAGCTATATTATAAAACTTTAGTCATCAAGAGAGTACGGTATTGGCATAAAAACAGACACATAGATCAATGGAACAGAATAGAAAACCCAGAAATGGACCTACAACTATATGGTCAACTAATCTTTGACAAAGCAGGAAAGAATATCCAATGGAAGAAAGAAAGTCTCTTTCTTTTCTCTTATGCATGTTGCTGGGAAAACTGGACAGCAACAAGCAGAAGAATGAACCTGAACCACTTTCTTATGCCATACAAAAATTAATTCAAAATGGATGAAAGACCCAAATGTGAGACAGAAAACCTTCAAAACCCTAGAGGAGAACACAGGCAGTAACCTCTTTGAACTCGGCCGCAGCAACTTTTTACTACACACGTCTCCGGAGGCAAGGGAAACAAAAGCAAAAATGAACTACTGGGACCTCATCAAGATAAAAATCTTCTGCACAGAGAAGGAAACAATCAATAAAACTGAAAGGCAACTGATAGAATGGGAGAAGATATTTCCAAATGCAATATCTGATAAAAGGTTAGTATCCAAAATCTATAAAGAACTCAAACTCAACACCCAAAAAACAAATAATCCAGTGAAGAAATGGGCTAAAGATAGGAACAGACAATTCTCCAAAGAAGGCATCCAGATGGCAAACATGAAAAGATGCTCAATCACACTCATCCTCAGGGAAACACAAATCAAAACCACAATGAGATACCACCTCACACCTGTCAGAGTGGCTAAAATTAACACAGGAAACAGCAGATATTGGCGAGGATGCGGAGAAAGGGGAACCTTTCTGCTGGTGGGAATGCAAATTGGTGCAGTCACTCTGGAGAACAGTATGGAGGTTCCTGAAAAAAACTTAAAACAGAACTGCCCTACAATCCAGCAACTGCAGTATCAGGTATTTACCCAAAGGATACAAAAATACTGATTCAAAGGGGTATGTGCACCCAGGTGTTCACAGCAGCATTGTTAACAGTAGCCAAACTATGGAAAGAGTCCAAATGTCCATTGACTGATGAATGGATAAAGATGTGGTATACACACACACACACACACACACACACACACACAATGGAATACTACTTGTTGATTAAAAAGAATGAAATCTTGCCATTTGCAACCACCTGGATAGAGCTAGTGTCTTATGCTAAGAGAAATATGTCAGTCAAAGATAAATACCACATGATTTCAATCATCTGTGGAATTTAAGGAAAAAAATGTGAACATTGGGGAGGGGAGAGAGAAGGAAACAAAGCACAAGAGACTCTTAAAGACATGTGACAGAAGGAGGTGGTGGGGGGTGGGCTAGATTGGTGATGGGTGCTCAGGAGGGTACATGTTATGAGCACTGGGTGTCATATGAAAGTGATGGATGACTGAATTCTACTTCTGAAACTGATATTGCACTACATGTTAACTAACTAGAATTTAGGGGCATCTGGGTGGCTCAGTCGGTTGAGTATCCTACTTCGGCTCAGGTCATAATCTCATGGTCCATGAGTTCGAGCCCGCATCAGGCTCTGTGCTGAAGACTCAGAGCCTGGAGCCTGCTTAGGATTCTGTGTCTCCCTCTCTTTCTGCCCCTCCCCCTCTCATGCTCTGCCTCTCTCTGTCTCAAAAATAAATAAACATTAAAATTTTTTTTTAAAAAGTTAACTAGAATTTAAATAAAAATTTGAAAAGAGAAAAAGGGAAAAAGTTACCCTGGATTTGGGCAGGTAAGAACAGGTGGAATGACAGAAGAGCTTAACATTGGCTCAAGAGCGAGGTGACAGTGGCTTGAGCTAGCAAGGTGGAGGTGGTATTAGAGGGACCATGGTTACCTCTTAGAGGGAGAACTGCCCAGGTAGGCCCAGTGAGAGGTATATTTCATGAAGCCAGCATGCCAGTCATGGTTGTGAGGTTCAAAAGTGATAGAGTGCCCAGTATGAGCACTGCTGTCATGACCCAGGGGTGAATTCTCTGAACCAGACACAGGACTCCAGAGGCAGCCTCCACCTTCCTGGGAAGGTAGTATTTGTGTCCATCCTTTGAAGCCCACTTAGACCCCCTTATTAACAACAGAGTACCAATCAACGACAGCCACAGTGAAACTGAGCACGTCTGAGAACTTCAGGTATAGGATCTCTAGTCTGCACATCCACTTTTGAAGGTGAATATTATTGTCCTCATGATCATGAGACAACAACTCAAAACTGAACAACTTGTCCCAAGTTGAAGCCCACTTGAGTAGTAAATGGATTGCAACCTAGGCTGGCTGATCTCCAAACCCATGTCCTCTCCTTGGACCATGTGGCCTCTCCTGTGAACTCTTCTGTAATCACTCCTCTCTGAAATGGGCAGGAAATCCTATTGGAACACTTAGAACTTCAAAACTGTTTACCTTGTTTCTATAATTGAGATAAAGAACTAAAAAAAAAAATTGTTAGGGACCCAGGAATCATGAAACATTTAAATATTCAACTTCCATGCCCATATATAACTCCTATAACTCAACTTTATCACTATGAGTCATACTGTTGTTTCTGGTTTTTATACAAGGTAAATTCCCTAAAGGTGTATTTTCAGATTTGGGGCGACCATAGCGGACAGCTTAATGTCAATGCTATTTGCCCAGCAGGGGGCGCGCAATTCTTTTGAGAAAGTCTGAATCTCAGGCAGGTCTTGGTAAACTAGGCTGAAGACGCTGCATATATGTGGTGTTTTACTTGGAATTGGTTCTGCAGGTCTTGGTTGCCCAACATGCTGGGTGGGGGTTTGTGTGAATCCCCGGGATTCCGAGCAGCCACCCTGGGATGGGGCAGCTCACTTAGTGGGCTCCTCACTTGTGTTTTGTGGGGAGCCAAATGAGGGCACATGGAAGGTGACAGCAGTTCAGAACTTTGACTACAGAAACAGGTAGCCAGAATCAGGAATTGTGCCAGCCTACGACCCCAACCCATATTCATATAGTCAGGCCTGGGAACTTTCATTAAGCTATTTCCCAGCTCTCTGTGTTAAATTATTTGGAGAATTTAGGCATCATTCTAGAATGATACATTAGTTTCTAGAAAGACTCTTTTCCATAGGTGTCTGTCCTGATTTGGCCATGTTTTATACACAGTTAAATCTGTTCCCCAGTTTCTTGCCATGCTTCACCCTGTCAGTGAGCCTCTATAGAAAGTAGTGGAAGGGGGGACGTGGCTGGCATGGATGCAATTGGACGGTCTCTTGAGAAGACTTCACATCTTGTGGCCTTGGTCTCTGCACTTGGACTAACCAGGACCCACTTCATGAACATGCAATCCATGTGGCAACAAGGCTCACACTCAGAAGAGCCTGCTGAGGCTGTTTGAGATTCTTAACAAGCGTCGAACACGGGGCCCCATAAATTACTCAGATGGTCCTTAAAACTATGGCAGCTACCTATAGGGGTTCCATGTTGGACAGTGACCAAATGCACCCAGCAAATGCCCTCACCTTGGAAATGAGAATTCAAGACACCAACTGTGTGCCTTTGGGCCATCAGAAAAGTAGGCTCATCCAGGAGAAGCAATGGGAGGAGAGCTGGGGCAGACCTCCAGGCACCATGAAAGCTGTTCCCATTCCTCATGAAAACCTATAGACTCATTGCTGAAATTGTTTCCTAAGCTTGACTGAGTCCTCTGTCATTGTTGCCCCCAAAACGCTGACCCATTCTACCCATTGGATAAGAGGGTAGATAGAGAATCACTAGAAGTACAACAAGAAAGGTTTTGTGGACAGTTGAGAGAACGTGAAGCAAGGTTATCACCCATCCCAGGGCATGTCTGCACCTAAATCTCATCTGGCTTTTGGCCAACTACTATATGAACTTAAACTCCATTGCCCTAGGTATAGCAGTGCAGCTGTCTCATAATACAGCCCCTGACTGAAATAAGATACGAGAGCACAATTATAGAGCTGAGAACAATGGTCAACACATGAGTTCATGAAGGGTTTCTGCCTGGGTTTTTATTTCAGTTTACCTTATCATGTTGAACCATACAAAAAAGCTGTTTTGGGGGCGCCTAGGTGGCTCAGTCGGTTAAGGAGCCAACTCTTGATTTTGATTCAGGTCATGATCTCAGTTTGTGAGATGGAACCCCGTGTCAGGCTCTGTGCTGAGCCTGCTTGGGATTCTCTCTCTCTCTCTCTCTCTCTCTCTCTCTCTCTCTCTCTCTTTCTCCCCCTTCACCCCCTCTCAAAACAAATAAACTTTTTTAAAAAAAGAAAAAGCTGTTTTTATAGGTCAAAAATAGGCACAATTTCCTGTTTTTTAGCTAATTTTATTCTTACCTAGAGCCAGTTGCACACGTATACACATATACACACACAACACACGCTGGATATGATGAGGGGAGGCAGGAGCTGGCAAAGGGTGGAGAATTTGAAAACAACCAAGTGACTCCAAAGGAAGTGAGGGTGGTTGATGTATAAACCCATCCCAGTTACTCCATGCCTTCCCTGGTGACTCAGATCCCCTTTATCCGGGGGCCACCACCCAAGGGCAAAGGGGATTTTCCTCCACCCACACCATGATCTCGCTTCCACTCTCTTGGCATCTCTGCCCATGCTTCCTGCCCTGCCCTCTCAGTCTCAAGCAGCCTGCCTGCCCCCACCACCAAGCACGTGGGCTGGTACTCACTCTCACTGGCACACGGTCTAACTATGAGGGATTTCTTGAGGAAGAAAGAGGAGGTAGCATCCCTGCCTCTCTGCAGAGGGCATGCCCTAACTCCTATCATCAGCTAGGACCCTACACCGCCTCCCCCAGCTCAGCCCAGACAGATGGAGTCGTGGGCTAACACAGGGAGGCCCTTGTCTCCAGTCTAATCTTCCTGACTCTTGTGTTTCCCCCTGCTCTCCTTCCAGTTTCTCTGGCTCTCAGCTCTCAGGGCTGTGCGGATGCTGAGAGCTACTCCTTCCCCTCTGCTCACAGCTCCTGCTCATCCAGGGCTGCCCTCTGGGAGATGAGGTGCTCACGAGTCTGAGTCCTCAGCCCAGGAGGACAGGGAGCAGTGGCTCCAGCTGCATACTAGAAAAAATGGGCCCAGGCAGGGTCAGAGAGCCCACGGACTGCTACTTGCCTCTCTCACCCGGTTCCCTGCTTCCTCTCAGTCAACCAAGCAGGCAAGACTCCTCTGTGCATGTTTCTATTCCTCTCTTTCTTGCTGTTTGGCTCTTCTTTAAGCACTTATCTAAACATCTTCCTCCACATTAGACTTCTTTCATGCTGCAAATACCTTTAAGGTAGAACATATGTCAAGCAAGCGTGTACCTTGTGTATTTTACACAAGTTACTTACTTCATACCATGTTTAAGTAAACCACATACAGGCTGCTGCAAAATATAACAGCTTCGAGTATAGACTTTGGAGGCAGAAAAATCTAGGGTCGGAACCCAGTGTAGCATGCACCAGCTACCCGTTCCCAAGCAAGTCATTTATCTTTGTGAACCTGTTCTTGGATTGGAAATAGGGTTGACAGTACTGCTCCCATGATAGGCTTATTGAGGTACCAAATGAGCCAACACAAATAAAGCACTCAGAATCGCTTCTGGCATATGGTATGCACTTGAAAAATATTAGTTCTTGCTGGTTTTCAATACAATAAAACAATTAAGCATTTCAAAGCAATTCTATGTTGATACTCTGAAGTCAAGCAAAGAATAATTTTATTCTGTAAATAATCATTCATAAAATAGTCCTCAGGAATTAAAAATTTTGCATGGTAGGAACAGCAGTGACTTAGGAGTCACTAAGATCTAGATTCAGGTTCTAGCTCCATCACTTACTGACTGTGTGACCCGGAACCTGTGTGTTAGCCTCTGAGCCTACATCACAGAGGTCGGGAGTAAAATAAGTACAGTGCACACAAATCTGTTGTGTAGTTATAAAGCTATATATAGTTAAGTTAGATATCATAATTTATTTACTCTGTACATTTTTAATTGATTCTCAAATTCATGTTTCATGCAACTCCTTAATGCTAATTTAAATAAAATACACGTGCATGTGGACATATCTGTATGTGAATTTGCGTAAACATGTTTTTAAAAGTCTGGAAAGAAAGGCAAGCCAATTATTGGCAATCATTGTGTCTAAGGAGGAGGTCAGACTGACCAAGAAGGAAACTGCCATATCTTACATTATCTCCTGAAAAAGTGGTCGGATTATGGGTAATCTTAAAAAATAATAATGTAGATATTATAAAAATCAGAATAGCATTGCTTAAAAAAATATTCTCACTGATTTTGAATACAAACCTGGGGTATGTGTTAAAACTTGCATCAGCATTCAGTAACTTTCATTCTGCTGACATTCTGCAAGTGTGCCAACTCTGTACAAAGCACTCTGGGAGATGCCAACCTGGATCAGATGTGGAAGTCTACCTGAGATGACAACATATTAGTCCAGGTAAAACACTTATGCCAAGGGTGATAATCTACGAAGAAAGTGGCCAATGTGGCTGGTGCACTATAAGTGCTCACTAAATACTTACTGGATAGATGGAGAAGTGAATGGATGGCTGGGTGGATGAATGGATAAACAGATGTAGAAAAAATGCCTTGGAAGAGGAATAATCAAGATGTCTGGTCGATTCAGTCAGTAAAGCATTTGACTCTTGGTCTTGGGGTTTGAGCTCCCCCATTAGGTAGAGATTACATTTTTTAAAAAGGAAAAGGAATAATCTACAGCTATGGGGATTTAGGAACACTTTATGGAAAAGACAGCCTTTGAAAGGCTAGATTTAGACATCTAGAGATGGGAGGCAGAGTTGGCAAGGGGCCTTATAGTAATGATATCCTGTCATTTCTCTCTCAATCTCAGTGTTTCCCTCCCTCTCTTCCTTCCTTCTCACTGAGAGTAGAGCTGGTATGTTTGGAAACAGGTGGGAGGTTTTCTTGGCCGTCACAGTGACTGGGATGATGGGGAAGTAGATGTCAGAGAACACTGCTGCATTTAGTGGTATGTTGGCCAGGGCTGTTAAATATATCGCAATAAAGAACTGTGATACCAGTGGTGATCACACTGAGAAACACCGGTAGGTAACAGAAGTATCATAAAGAAATTATTACACTGTCACAGAGAAAGTACTGAGGAAGATAATCTACACATGTCTTCTGTTTTTGTGGACAAATCAAATCCTATGGCCTCCCTTCTAGAGATGAAGCAGGGAAATCATACTGGAAACGCCCATGGGGGTTGCTGAACAGACAGCCTCTTAACAGATTAGACCTTGGTCTCGAGGAACAGGAGATACATCCAGGTTTTTGACTAGAGGAATGATCTTGTCATATCTGTGCTTCAGGAAATGACAATCCCCTATTTTAAAAAGAACTAAAATGTGAAGTGATGACAAGTTAATTTTTTTAAAGTTTTACCCTGCCTTGTTCTGCATCAGAGAAACCTAAGAAAGCTAAGAGAGCATTCTATATTTTACAAACTTCTCCAAATTTAATGTAGGATAAAAAAAATTGATTTAACAAACTAGGCTGGGACAATCTGGATAAACAAAAACAAAACTAAGATTGATCCCTACCTCAAACCGCATATTCAAGATGGTTTAAAGAATTAAACCTAAAAAACTGTTAAAGATGTTAGGGAGAAATGTAGCTGAATACTTTAGGAAACTTGAAGTAGGGGAGGCCTTCCAAAGTAAAACCCAAAGAACCACAAAGTACGAAAACAGAGAAACTCAAGATTTCTACAGAACAAAAAAGGTAAAAGTAGAAGCTCGTTTTAACATATATAACAGACAAAAGATTCTTTTCCAGATAACCTACAAAGCTTCTATAAATTAATAAGAAAAAGATAACCCAGATGAAAAATGGGCAATAGATTTAATTAAGCACTTCACAGAAAAAAAAAGATATAAAACATGAAAATAGGGGCGCCTGGGTGGCTTAGTCGGTTAAGCGTCCGACTTTCGCTTGGGTCATGAACTCGCAGTTCGTGGGTTCGAGCCCCGTGTCGGGCTCTGTGCTGACTGCCAGCTCGGAGCCTAGAGCCTGTTTCGGAGTCTGTGGCTCCCTCTCTCTATTACCCTCCCCTGCTCACGCTGTCTCTCTCTCTCTCTCCTAGAAATAAATAAAACATTAAAAAAAAATTTTAAAAAAACATGAAAATAGGTTTATGGCTGATATTTCATATTGATTCATTCAATTCCATGCCTACTATCCTGTAGCTTGTTGCATGTTGGAACCTAAAAAGATAATGCCGGGACACCTGGGTGGCTCAGCCAGTTAAGCGTCCGACTTCGGCTCAGGTCATGATCTCACGGTTGGTGGGTTTGAGCCCCATGCTGGGCTCTGTGCTGACAGCTAGCTCAGAGCCTGGAGCCTGTTTCAGATTCTGTGTCTCCCTTTCTCTCTGACCCTCCCCTGCTCATGCTGTCTCTGTCTTTCTCTCAGAAATAAATAAAAAACATTTTAAAAAATGATAATGCCTACAATTCCCAGGCTCCCTTAGAGCTGAGCTTCTGTACGTAACCAGCCAGGGCAGATATACCATCAAGAGATCGACTGACTCTCGTGACACTCAGGGTTAAAGGAGGTGCTTATTTTTCTTTGGTTTGCTTTTTTATTTCCCTGCATCAACATAGCAGCAATCTTACCGTCTAGATGTAGTCTCCAGCTCCATAGGCGCTGTGGATAGGATGTAAGGTATCCACAGTGCAGCTGAGGCAGCATGGTCCTGGACACCAGGTATGTCTGAGGCCTCCAGGCTTCCAGATTATCAAGTCAGCAGTTGAGGCACAGCCTCTCGAATCCCCAGTTTCCTGGTCATGGCAGAAGAAGAGGCTCCTCTGGCAGGTGTCCTGAGCTGGAGCTTGGGGGTCAGTCCTACTTTTTCATCTGATCTCACAAATCGTAAGCAGCAATGTCATATTTTAAATCAAGCAGCTTCCCTACTCTCTTTCTACTTATCTTTCTACATAAACTAAGCAGAGTAGCTGCTAAACTCTGAAACAATGGTCAGCCTTATTAAAAATCAAAGAAATGCGGGGCACCTGGGTGGCTTAGTCGGTTAAGCATCCGACTTTCGCTTAGGTCATGATCTCACGGTTCGTGGGTTCGAGCCCCGCATCGGGCTCTGTGCTGACTGCCAGCTCAGAGCCTGGAGCCTATTTCAGAATCTGTGTCTCCCTCTCTCTCTGACCCTCCCCTGCTCACGCTGTCTCTCTCTCTCTCTCTCTCTCTCTCTCCTAGAAATAAATAAAACATTTTTAAAAAATCAAAGAAATGCAAACTAAAGCCACAGTGAAATGATTTCTCACTGATCAGAATATGAATGATTACAAAGATGGATGGGGTGGCTGGGTGGCTCAGTTGGTTAGGCGTCCAACTTCAGTTCAGGCCATGATCTTGCTGTTTATGGGTTCAAGCCCCACATGGGGCTCTGTGCTGACAGCTCAGAATCTGGATCCTGCATTGGATTGTGTCTCCCTCTCTTTCTTCCCCTCCCCCACTCACACACTGTCTCTCTCTTTCTCTCAAAAATAAAAAACAAAACAAAAAACCCAAAAAACATAGATAAAATTCAGTGTTGCTGAGGGTAAGGGGAAAGGGGCTCTCTATTAGAGCTTACGTACGTCGCTGCAACCATTTGAAGAGCCGTTTGGCAGAATCTACCCAAATATAAATCATATTTATGCATGCATTTATGCATGCATCATATCAAACCCAGAGAGGGCATCAGGCCTCTAGGCATTGGCTGAAGAGAAATACTACTACATGTCCTCAAAAACACATTTTCCACAGATATTAACTGCATCATTGTGAGTAATGGAAAGATAACAACAACTAGCTGCATTGTCCATCAAGAGGGAACAGTTAAGAAAATTATTGTACAGCCATTCTTTGGAATGCTCTGCAGCAGTTAAAGAATGAGGCCGAGCTCCAAGCACTAATATGGAAAGATCCCAGACATATTTCCAAGTGAAAAATAAATGGCAAAACAGTACGTATAGTATGATCTCATTTACGTTTAAAAATACATATAACAGAATGTGTTTCTATTTAAACATGCATATATCCGCATAAACATAGCCAAAGGTCAGGAAGGGCACAAACCAAGCTACTCTGTGGGGTGGGGGGGAGGCTGGAGGAAGGGCTTGGGCAGGACTTGTACCTCCTGTCTGTACTATTTGAATGTCTGAATATTTTACAGTAGGAATGTATTCTATTAGAATGTCATATAGTACATTAATACATATTTATGTATTAACATATAAATTAAGAGGTCATACTTACTATAGGGGCACATACTATAGGGTCACACTGTAGGGGCAAGCTTCCAACTCTCAAATGCCTAAGCAAAATATAGAGATTGATTAATTGACCTGTCTGCTATCCACCTATCATCTATCTAGAAAAGGAGAAAGCAAACATGACAAAAAGTAACGCACTGAACCTAGGTGAAGCAATATGGGTATTCATTGCACTTCATTCAACTTTTCCGTTTTAAAACTTTTTTCATAATATAAAGTTAGAAATAAAATGCATCAAATACACATCCTTGGACCCACACACGCTTTTTCTGTGCAAGCGGATTTTTTTCAGAGGTGGGGACCAAAGCCTATGCCTTGCACAGCTGCTAAAACAGCAAACAGCATTGGCAATCCTTCCCACTGACTTCTTAGAGCAAGTGTGCCTCACTCCTGAAGCCAGTGTCCTGAGTAACTTCAGAGGCCTTCGTGGGCAAGAACAGGGATTGACAGCAGGCCCCTGCCCAGTCCCTCGGCAGGCAGTCAGGGCCAGAACCTGTTGGCGAGTAGGGACCTACCTAGCTGGCTCTCCAGGGGCCTGCAGAGCTCATGGCCAAGGGCACTCCCCACCCCCAACACACATGCCAGTGCATATTTATGAAGCCCCATGAAAGGTGAAGTAGCCATCTTTAAGAAGGGGACCTGGGGGCTCCTTGGCCACTCCAGGGGGCTCTGAAAAGATTCCATTCATTGGAGCTGCTGTACTCAAGACCCCACATTCAGTCCTCATTCTGGTGTTTATTTTTGACATAACAGTGTGAGGAGAATGGGGAAAAAAGGAATTGCAAAAAAAGGAACTGGAATTTTAATGAGAACCATCTGGAGTCAAGGGTGCGATGTTTGGTACAAGAAAGTAATTCCTCAGCTTAAATGAGGAAAAAGAGAAATGGAGCAAATTGTTATGTTGCGCTTACCCCCAAACTGATGCTGAACAGAACCACCCAGAACGCTGGAACATGCACATCGCACAGGAACGCGGCTGCGACAGGGCCGTGGAGGGACGTAGTGAGCAGTGAGGAGGAATGTTTCTCCTCCGCCAAGGAGACTTTGAGGGATGGGTTGTGGTGGGCCCTGGGCCAGGGCCTGGAATCTGGGTAACCATGGAAACGGGCCCGCGGGTGACAACAAACACGGGATGGAATTTCAGCGTTCGCAGCCAGGCCACGGAGGAATGGGAAAGTTCGGGAAAGTTTTTGTGTTTGTTTTTAAGCCGGAGTCGAGGAAGGCACAGAAGGGAGCCGCAGTGTTCCAAATACACGGCTCCCTGCGCAGTACCCCAACTGAGTCCCAGGAAGCCAGGTTCTCTGCGAAGCTCTATTTCCACTTTATTCTTTCCATTTGTTTATAACCCACCGCATTCCACCAAGGATTCTGTGGGGTGAAAGCCACTCCTGAGGGGTCTCGGTGCACAGCCACATCCCTGTCTTCACTCCAGCATAATCCCTTACCTTGAGGATAGCCACCCTCCGTGGGGATTTATTTGGGTGCATCCTCTCCACGTATCCCCAAAACAGCCCGGCGGCCAGGATGGCCAGATCCCCACCTCACAGATGGAGAAACAAAATTCTGAGAGCCAGGATCTCCCAGAAACAGAGGGGTTTTCTGGCCCAGCCCCTGCCCATCTTCCTTGCACCATGCTCTTGTACCTGTAATCTTTATTCTGGAAACAAATGAGTAATTGTGGTAGTTTGTATTTATGAAAAAGACAAGGAAAGCCTCCTACATAGATCAGTGTGCAAATGCCACTTAGCCAGGCAGCTGCAGCAGCAGGCCTTGACTGAATGGGAAAAGATTTCTCTGAAGGAAGGAAGGAATTTTTAGTTACTGGGCTGAAAAATTAAGGAAACCTGGACTCTAGAATTTCCTTCTCTGAGGTGTTTAGAAACAGAATGTCTGGCTGGCATCAAGCATTGGGCAGATCAGGTCCTGGGACTAAAGGAACCATAGACATCCACTACAAGCTTCTTGCTTTGCAGATGGGGAAACCAAGGCAGAATCAGGCACTGGGCCCCACATCCAGTACAAGGTTCTTTTCTTGACAGCATGTGTCAGGACCCCCCAAACAAGCCCATAGTAGACCCTCGGAGTCCACAGGTAGGTTTTGGTGAAACAGTATAAATCAGCAAGATTAAAACAGGAGGTAATAACAATTGTTACAGAACAGAGGATTATTAAATCTGGACTTAGACTCGGGGGTGCAGGGAAGAGTAGGAAGGGGGAATATGCCTAATGGATTGACATTCTGAGAAACTGAGATCCATACAGTGCAAAATCCACTTGAGTTTTGATGTTAAGACCATCATTAGTTAAGGAGCCTCTTCTCTGAAAAGAGAAAGAGACTCACCAGTTAAGAATTTAGCAAAGATAGTTTTAAATCAGCAGAGTTACATAACTTCATAATGGTTTCAAGAAATCATCTTGAAACTTCATTAGCAAAAAATGCCTCTGAATAAGCCAACAGGAAATAAAGAAGTGCAAAGAATTTCTGAAATAGAAGAGTGGTTTTGTTTGTTTTTAAAGTGAAAAAAAGATGTTTTAAGGAAAAAGGAAGCCCTGACCCACATAAAGATAGGGTTTTGGTCACACTAATTTGAGAGCAAGAGGAGAAAAGAGGAGAAAGTGGATGCCTCGGCAGTGGAGTGAGTGCCCAGGCCCTTGAGGGCTTTGTGTGGGCTGCTGAGAACAGCTACAGTCCCTGAAAAATGGGCTCCCGAAACATAGCCAGTTTGACACTAAAAAAGACATTTCATTCACTGAAGAATAACCAATCTGCCTGAGGCTGTCCACAGCCCTGTTGAAGTTTACCAAGTAACTTAACAATTGCTTTAGCCCTTAACAATCTGGGGGTACCTGCTATTTTCCTGAAGTTGGTGATTTTCCCAAAAGCTCTGCTTTGTCACTTTTTGTCCTGAAAACCTCTATTTCTCTTATGCAGTCATTAAAAATGGGAGAGTGTCCTCCACAATAGCTAAAACATGGAAAGAGACTAAGTGTCCATCATTGGACAAATGGATCAAAAAGATGTGGTTTATCTATACCATGGAATACTACATGGCAATGAGAAAAAATGAAATCTGGCCATGTGTAGCAACATGGATGGACCTTGAGGGTGTTATGCTGAGCGAAATAAGTCAGGCAGAGAAGGACAAATATCATATGTTTGCACGTACAGGAGGATTAGGAGGAACTTGACGGAGGAACAAGGGGGAGAAGAAGGGCGGAAATGGTGGGGGAAAGGGAGAGAGGCAAACCATGAGAGACTCTTGAATGCTGACAAAAACTGAGGACTGATGGATGTGGGGGGAAGGGGGGATGGGCATGGAAGAGGGCACTTGTGGGGATGAGCACTGGGTGTTATGTGGAAACTAATTTGACAATAAACTATTTGTAAAAAAACAAAATGGGAGAGTGTCATTTTTTTTCTCAGCAAAAAGTTTTGACAACTTACTCTATGCCAAGCCATGAATACAGCGCTGCAATCATATCAGATTATTATTGCCTCTTGGATTTACTACCATTTCTGAGTTTTTATTATTAAAATGCAGAGTCCACTGTGAATCTATGAGCCTCCTATAAAACGCTGAGTTTTCCATCTTCAAATACTATAAGCACTATGCAAGCTTAAAGAGGCCACTGCTCATTCCTAATGAGAATCTTCTGTTTATGATTCATGGATTAAACCCCTATAAATGGCTTTATGTACATGCCCAAAATATGTGGATCCACACGATATCTGAGAGTATTCATGTAAGTATGTATCTGCCCGTGAGAAAGTGTGTGTGGGAGGGAAGGAACGAGTAGAAACTATTTCCATTTTATTTTATTTTTTCTTAAGTTTTAACGTTTATTCATTTTTCAGAGACAGAGCATGACCAGGGGAGGGACAGAGAGAGAGAGCCAAACACAGAATCTCAAGCAGGCTCCAGGCTGAGCTGTCAGCACAGAGCCTGATGCAGGCCTCAAACCCACGAGCTGAGAGATCATGACCTGAGCTGAAGTCAGACACTTAACCATCTAAGGCACCCAGGTGCTCCATATTTTTTTAATAGTTTATTGTCAAGTTGGTTTCCATATAACACCCAGTGCTCATCCCCACAAGTGCCCTCCTCCATGCCCATCACCCCCTCTTCCCCTCCTCCCCACCAGCCCTCAGTTTGTCCTCAGCATTCAAGAGTTTCTCATGGTTTGCATCCTTCCCTCTCCCCCACTATTTTTCCCCTTCTCCTCCCCCATGGTCCTCCCTTAAGTTCCTCCTAATCCCCATATTTTAAAAAAAATTTTTAGAAATTTTATTTTTTATCTGTTTTTATTTATTTATTTTGAGAGCGAGCAAGAGAGCAGATGCATGTGGGGGAGGGGGTGCAGGGGAAGAACAGAGAGAGAGGGAGATAGAGAATCCCACAAAGACTCTGCACTGTCAGCATAGAGCCCAATGTGGGACTTGATACCATGAATAGCAAGACCATGACCTGAGCCAAAACCAAGAGTTGGACACTTAACCAAATGAGCCACTCAGGCACCCCAAAACTGTTTTCATTTTAAAAAGCTAGAGGGACAAGCAAAAACTCTCATATACATCATATATTTCTTGGAGAGAAGTGAGTGTAGCTCTCTATTCCAGCCATCAAAGATGCCAAAATGTAAAGCAGCTAAGGGGAAGAAGGTGGCCCTGGCCCCTGCCGTGGTGAAGAAGCAGGAGGCCAAGAAGGTGCCAATCCCATTTGAGAAAAAGCCCAAGAATTTTGGCATCAGACAGGACATCCAGCCCAAAAGGGACCTCACCCACTTTGTCAAATGGCCCCATTACACTGGACTGCAGTGGCAAGGGCTGTTCTCTATAAATGTGTGAAAGTGCCTCCCGTGATTAACCTGTCCACCTGGGCCTTGGGTGGGCAAACAGCTACTCCACTGCTTAAGCTGGCCCACAAGTACTGACCAGAGACAAAGCAAAAGAAGAAGCAGAGATCACTGGCCCAGGCTGAGAAGAAAGCTGCTGGCAAAGGGGATGTCCCCATTAAGAGGCCACCTATCCTTCAAGCTGGGGTTAATACTGTTACCAACTTAGCAGACAAGAAGGCACAGCTGGTAGTGATTGCACATGCTGTGGATCCCATTGAGCTGGGGTTGCCTTCCTGGCTGCCCTGTGTCATAAGATGGGGTTCCCTACTGCATCATCAAGGGGAAGGCCAGGCTGGGGCGTCTGGTTCACAGGAAGACCTGCACCACCATCACCTTCACAAGGTTAACTTGGAAGACAAAGGAGCTCTGGCTTAGCTGGTAGAAGCTATCAGGACCAATGACAATGACAGATATGATGAGATCCATCATCACTGGGGAGGCAATGCCACCTCCCCAGTGGCTCACATTGCCAAAGGCAAAGGCAAAGGCTAAAGAACTGGCCACCAAAGTGGGCTAACTGGCTGCTGTTGAGTTTTGTGTACATAAAAGTAATTACAAGTTCTATTTTAAAAAAAAGAGTGTATAGGGCATAACGATGGGAGAACCCAATGCATTTCCAAATTATCATTCCTTTAGCTCTTGAGAACACTCTTCAATGGGAAACCATGGGCTGGTGTTTTCTGTAATAATCACACTCTTCTTTTTTTTTAAATTTCAGTGATTTTTTTAAAAAACCTTTTTAAAAATCATTTTTATCCTTTTATTTTAAAAATCTTTTATCCTTTTATAAAAATCTTTATTAAAAACCTTTATTAGGGCGTATGGGTGGCTCAGTCGATTGAACATCCGATTTCGGCTCAGGTCATTACCTCATAACTTGTGAGTTCGATCCCCGAGTCGGGCTCTGTGCTGACAGCTCAGAGCCTGGAGCCTCCTTCAGATTCTGTCTCCATCTCTCTGCCCCTCCCCCACTCACACTTGGTCTCACTCAAATATAAATAAACATTTAAAAAAAGTAAAAAAAAAAACAACACACTTTTATTATTCAGGTGCTCAGTACTTCAGGGATTCTTACACCGAGAGACCGCCCCCCCCCCCCCATGGGCATGGTGGTCTTCACACCTTTCCGTCACACAG